GTATCTGGAATGAATTTTAGGTCTCTACGTCCATCCCATGGGGAATGGGAGCAGTAACAAAGGTGTTGCGTTTATATTTTTGTTGAGTGTATATGTGCTTTTTCTTTCCTCATTTTTCTTAAATTTTACTACTTTTTATCTGGTTCAACAGACCATTTACACTAAATGAAAAAACGTCTATCCTGCCACTACCCATGCTACGACTGTTTGATTCTTCTTTAGGCAGTAGACCCCAGTATAAACAGTCCACTCCAGGAACCTAAATATGTGAACATTAAATAAATATTACAGCTGTCCAGAACATCAGCCATACAGCGAACCCTTAATTTTAATTGAACAACAAGAAAAAGAAATGTGCTGTGGGGTCTCTATTATGACCTTATGAAGACCCAGATTCATAATACGGAAATCTTTAATAATATATGTAACATGCTGGACATATCACAGTGCTAAACTCACTATCAGTCCCCTTTATCATTGGACTCTCAGTGTTCAGCTGTCATTCCTGCTCTTGGCATCTAAATACTTGGATAACAGTAAAGGTTTGATTTTTACAGTATTTTTTAGATGAAAGAAACAAGACTAGATGAGCTCAGACATGTGTGACTCATCTCACTGATACAAATATATAGTTTTATTATTACTTTTATTACTTGCAAGAAAGGTAATGTGTTTGTCAGGAAGCTTAGCGCTTACCATTATCATTCATAAAAATAAATTTACAGAAGAAGACAACATTATGGGATAGTGGATCAGCCTCAAGTACTGGAGAGACTGATGGAAAAACAGGAGCAGCAAAGGTTAGGCCTGAACCCCCCTTAGTTAGGTCATTGACAAGACTGGTTACGGGTACCAACTATGGAATGGAGCAATTATCAGGCACCTTCTTTACATGGATGACATCAAGCTGTATGCCGAGAGTGAATGAAACATCGATACACTGATCCAAACCACCAGGATCTACAGCAACGACACTGACATTGGAATACCATTCGAAATGGAGAAGTTTAGTTGGATGGTAACAAAGAGAGGAAAAGTAGTCAGAACTGAAGGGGTTGCAGAAAGGGAAGATTATAGAAATTCAAGTCAGCTACAAGTACCTTGTAGTCCCACAGGCAAATGGACGTTATGGAGAGGCTGCTAGCCACAACCACTAAATAGACTGAAAGACAACATAGAGGCAGTAATAGTGGCAGCACAGGAACAGCTTCTAAGCACAAGATACATAGATGTTGCTACACCAGACCTCAGATACAGTGGGGCAAAAAAGTATTTAGTCAGCCACGATTGTGCAAGTTCCCCCACTTAAAATGATGACAGAGGTCAGTAATTTGCACCAGAGGTACACTTCAACTGTGAGAGACAGAATGTAAAAAAAAAA